ACTTGATCTTGTGTGTTGCTGATCTTGTGAGTGCCTTTCTATGGAACTTGTGACTGGTGAATATTGAGCTTGTTGTTGAAGGTATGCAATTGTTAGAGTGTTGTTGTTGAGGATATGAAACTATTGTTGTTGTTGAGGATATGAAATTGTTAGAGTGTTGTGTTGAGCTATCTGTTTTGTAAATTGTGAACTGTTAGGTTGGGCTGGTTTTATACAGATTGTAGTTGTGAAGGTTCGGTTGGGGTGTAAGGAGTACTTGTATTCTATCCCCTTAACTCGTGTTTAGAGGTTTACTTGTTGAGTACCGTGTGGTTTGGTACTCACCCCTTGCTTCTACAAATTTTTGTAGGTTACGAGTCTGGTTTTTTGTGGTACTTGTTATTCTCTTCTTTTCCGAGGCCTCTGGGAGATTTGTGAGGTAGTTGGTTGTCTTCTCAACGATCCTTCTTACTCTTGTTTATGATCTTGTTCTACTCTAGAAACAATGTCATATGAGACTTGTATTTTTCTTTTGATTCAATTGTAATACTTTAGAGGCTTGTACACGTGACAACCAGATTTTGGGGGTATATTTGAGTTTATTATAAAAAATTTCGCATTTTATTGTGATGGTTGAGTTTTAGGCTGACTTGTCTTGGTGGGTTAAGACGAGTGTCATCACGTCCATTTTTTGGTCGTGACATTATTATTTTTAAAATCTTAATTAGTTATTATAATAAGTATACTTTTATTTTTTACAGTAAAAAGTAAAAAGGAAAAGCATAATATTATTAATTATTAATCATTAAAAGGGAAAGAACGGAAAATTGTAAATAATGGAAACATTTGCCATTCATCCAAATAGTAATACATAATTAGATTAATTAATAATTAGTTATAATTTAATATTCACAATTTTTTATTTATAAACAATCAATATTAATAATTGTTTTTATTGATTTCAAATGAAATTTAAGATATGTGGGTTGTGCAACGAGATTTTATTATAAAGGTGTTAAATTTTATTTGTCCATCTTGCAGATTTCCTCAACCAGATATTTAAGTTATATACGTTTTACATATGTACGGACTCTATTTTGTGGGTAATTATCATTTTTTATTTAAAATATTTAAACTAACTTTTCACAGCTAATTATCATTCTTTATACATTGTTAAATATTAATAATAATATATTATGATCATGATGATGAGGCTTAAGTCATCGATGGCCCCTTAAAGTTGTCCGCATAATTCACTTAGACACCTCAACTAATTCGGATTTGAACCTTTTGAACACTTTTTTGACAATCAACTAAAAGTATGAAATGTGTGTAATACACTCGCGATGACGTGGAAAATTGACAAATCAATGACGTACATGTGGCATTTTGACGGAAAAAAAAAGAAAAAAGAAAAAATTAAAGTTGCCATCCACCCAGCTACAGATCAAGCAACTTGTTGCAATGTCCAATGATGCATTGAGAATTTCTATAAAGTAGAGACAGGTTTACTATCAACCATAGTCGTCGTCACCATTGCCCCATCCTCCACCATAGCCGTCGTCACCTTCAAATTCTCTTAATCCACTAATTTTTTTCAGATCTTTTTTTTTTAAGTTGAAAATAGCAAATTACATATACATAAAAATTAATCAATACATGAACCTACAAAATATGAACCATTTATAATTTTAGTATCAATAAAATCATTGGTTACATAATCATCTAAGCAATACACGGAGAAAGGAGGAAGGAGAGGTGATTCGTTTTTTATTTTAAATCTGATTTGTTAGATATATTTTTCAATAAGAAAAAAATGGAAGAAGAAACAGAGTAGTCATTGTATGAGTCTCTATTTCCCGGTAAATAAGATCACAATATCAAGCAAATTTAAAGAAAATGGAGAAGGAAATCGTAATGGTGTTTCCCCAGTTGAATACGATAGAGGTGAGGGGGAGGGAGAGGAAGAGGAGGCAGGAGAAAAGAAAAGGGTGGAAGGTGGTGGTGGCAATATCGACGACAACGGCGGAGATGGTACTGATTTTGGAAGAAGTTACGGCAAAGAAAGAAGGAAGAAGAGAGTGATTTTAAAAAATATATATATGTTTTGACGTGTTGAATGGATGTGTATTACACCTTCCTTGCCATGTCAGCGAAAAGTGTCAAATAGGTACTTATTCTGAACAATAGAAGTGTTCAATAGGTACTAGTCCTAGTTGAAGTGTCTAAATGAAATTTGCAAACAACTTAAGGAGCCGCAGATGGCTTAAGCCTAATAATAATAATAATAAATAATTACTATTTAATATTCAATTGATTAGCTATTTTATAATATTTTTATTTACTGCAGGGAGTAAAATGGTATTTCAACTTTTAATAATTTATAATATTATATAATAACTATTTAATATTTAATTGATTAGCTATTTTATAATATTTTTATTTACTGCAGGGGGCAAAATGGTATTTCAACTTTTAATAATTTATAATATTATATAATAACTATTTAATATTTAATTGATTAGCTATTTTATAATATTTTTATTTAGTGTAGGGGTAAAATGGTATTTCAACTTTTAACTTTTTTTTGTTTCCACTTTTACTAATACTAGTTTTTTGACACGTACGTTGCACGTGATTACCAATTCCAAAAATATATGTTATAGTAAATTGTATTGTTTATTTAAGTGAAGATTTGAATAATAAGTTTAGCAAAAAATAATATTGCAGATTCTTTTCTGAATGTTCAATGGGAATCGTCATACATATCTCTTATTCACGCAAACCTATGAAGATGGTCAATGAAAAATTTTATTAGTTAAATGCAATAATGTATATATTTATTTCAATTTGATGAGGTTCAACATGTAATTAGTCTTATCTCACTAATATTATCTTATAGACATTATTTGTTTTATATTTTTCTTGTCATCTAAAATATGTGCTTTGCATGTGTATTCCACGTTAAATTGTTTAGATGTCATATGAACAGGTGAAGAGAACAACTATATTTTATATAAGTCATTCTTTTGTCTTGAACATCAAAAACAAATCGTGACAATTCTCTCAATTTTGGAAAAAGATATTCAGAAGTATATATCTACATCACTAGAGAAATTGTTAACAAAAACAAATGAATTTAGACTACATCATGTTAACTTCGTATATTGGAACATTACATACTGTATATATCAAGCAAAAAAAATAATTATATATCATCAAAATTATTTTCCTCAAGTACTCGAGGTTATGGAATTTATTCTCTTAGGATAAAATGACTTATTTCATCAGAATAGTGGTACCTCATATTTCTCTACACTTCGAACTCACTCAACGACAATAAACCACATAAAAAATTTTAAAATGCAAGAAGAAGAAGAGTAGAAGATTAAAAATAATTGTGGTTGAAAAATGAGAGGAAGCCCATCTATTTATATTCAACAAAGGGTAATATGAACAAATATTTTTTTGTGTTTTATCTGAAAAGTTATGACATTTCCGAGAAGTCACAACCCTTTGAAAAAGTCACAACTTATTGAAAAAGTCACAACCCTAGGAAAAGTTATAACTAGGTGTGGCAAAATGAGTAATTAATATGGATAGCCGTTCATATTTATCAATTTTAAATGGGTTGGGTATCCAACTCATTTAAAAATGGGTAAAAACGAATAATATACATATTACCCATTTAAAAGTGGGTAGTTAAATTGATAAAATGGGTAAAAGATGTGCATTCACACAAACAAACAAAAAAAGTGATAAAGGGTAGGGTAGTAAGAAAGTCTTTTTTTTTTTTAAAAAAAAATTCACTTTTTTTTACATTTTTTTGGGATAGGGGGTGGGGGGATGGTATGGTGTTGGGGGCTGGTAGGGAGGTGGGTTGGAAAATTTTTTAGATTTTTTTTTTTAAAAAAAAATTATTGGAAAAAATTTAAAATTTTGTTAATTTTTTTTTTGGGATGGGGGCTGGTAGAGGTGGGGTGGTAATTTATTTTATTTTGTTTTACATTTTTTTGGGATAGGGGGGTAGGGGGGGGTGGTAAGGGTGGAGTGAAGTGATAAAAAAAACTAGAATTTTTTGTTTTTGTTTTTTAAGCTTTTAACAAGATTTCTATTATAATATGGGTAAATACGGGTACCCATATTATTCATTGGGTAACTCGTTTTACCCATTTAAAATGTGAGTCGAGTCGAATAACTTATCCATTTTTATTTAACTCGTTTTTTGATCGACTCATATTTAAAAAATTTACCAACCCATCCCCCCCTCTCCACCCCCTATCCCAAAAAAATGTAAAAAAAAGTTTCATTTTTTTTAAAAAAAAATAAAAAATTCTTACTACCCCATCCTTTATCACTTTTTTTTGTTTGTTTGTGTGTAATGCACATCTTTTACCTATTTATCCATTTAACTACCCATTTTTAAATGGGTAAATATAAGTGGATATCCATATTAATTAACCATTCTACCACCCTAGTCGGAACTTATCAAATTAGCGTTTTTACTTTTTAGTATTACTGATTATTTTTTTCATAGAAACTATTTCCACGATAGGTTAGTTTCATATATAATCAAACACCATAAAATTACTTACCATAAAGAGTAACTTCCATCATTACCCAAACAGACCCTATAAATGTATCCCTTTGTGGAGTTTATCCCAAATATACGGATGCTCTAAACTTCAATCCATAAGCCTTTGTGAATGGATCCTTTATCAACTAATAATGTATATATGTATGATATATGCATCAATAATTAATGAAATTTTCTTCTTTTTTCCCAGTATTTGGTGGTTATACTAAAAGGATCTTCAGACGTATCCTTCGGAGGGAACAAAGACCCAGATGGATTTGCTGAGGTTGTATCCATGGGTGGCATCGACTCCAGAGTCGATGCCACCACTTTGCACAAGTTCTCCATTCCCAGAAACTGATTCCTTCAGATAAAAGCAACTACCTATTATGCAGAAGTTTTACTGGAAAAAGAGCCATAGGAAAGATAAATAGCAATACGATCTATTATTTACTGTTTTCCAGCAAAGAGAAATCACTTTACTACTACTAAAAGTTGAGAAAACTCCTTCAAGCTTGTATGAACAAAATGCAGAAGGAACAGATACAAATCTTATCCACAAATTCAAAATAATAGATATAAATACTGCCGGACAAAGGATGGCATTAGATTCTATGAAGAAACCACCTCCTATAGCTCCAGATCAGCTTCTATATCAAAGCAGAGTTCAGTCTTCCTCTAAAACCATAGCGGAGGAGAAACACCTTTTCCCAATAGCCCTCAAGCTAGGCATTTGCCAACCTTCACCCTCCTCGTAACATTCAACCTGCAGCCATAACACATGAGAGTTTGCTACCAGGAGCAATATAAAACTAAGCATGAGATGAACAACGAGATAAGGTTACATACCACGTCTACTATCTCCTCATTGGACTGAACCCCACCAATGACATAAATGGATCCCTTTAGAACAGCAGCAGCTGAATATCCCCTTGAATGGTTCATTGGCTCACCAACTATCCATGTTCCTAGACGGGGGTCATATATCTCAACGCTAGGCACCATTGTAGATCCATTGTAGCCACCAAGTGCATATCTATATAGCAATGTTAAAGCAAAAGGAAATTACTCTTTTTTAAAATGGAAAGACTTACAAAGTTAAAAGAAATTGTCAAGAGTATTTTCTAACACACTTAGGAAATGCTGAAAACCACGATAAAGAAATCCCACCCACCCCCCACCCCACAGGGGAAAAAACCTCTACCCTTAAGGTCAGTAAACATCACTAAGATACAAAAAAAAAAGGATAAGAACATACAACTTCCCGCTCAAGGCAACCAACGAATGGCATCCTCTTTTTGTGCTCATACTTCCAACTTTTGACCAGGAATGTTCTCTGGGATCAAATCTTTCAGCAGTCCTGAAGAAAAAGCTAGTATGAAAGATGCTACACGATAATAAAGCATAAACTTGAATACAGTCTTTACATATTGCAGATAATCTTAACTTAATGGCACAATAGCATTTCTCTATACTTGTGAAATACCTAAAGGGTTGTTTGGTATGAGGTATAAGGTATAATAATCCCAGGATAAAATGCAAGATTATTTTATCATGCGTTTGGTTGGAGGTATTAGGTAGTCCTTGGATTATCCCACCATTTATACCATAGTGATGGGATGAGTTATCTCATATATATGGTGGGATAACTTATCCCGCGATAACTTCCCAACCAAATACCCCTAAGAGTTAGCATTTTACAAAAGGTGCATGTGGGAATGTACAAGCATCTCAACTTCTTGGGGAAGACCATGGAAAATTATAATCTCATGGTTCAAGAAAACGAGGCTCACATAGAAAGTATCATTAACACATTTCATAGCAGAAAAAGAATGGAAGTGTGCTACAACTTACTCCAGGTAATCGCTTCCGTCAAATCCACCAACAGCATATAATGCCCCATTAAGTTCTGCCGCAGCAAGAGCAAATCTCTGCAAATATACAGAAAAGGAAGACAGTCACATCAGAGGAGAAAACTTATCACTTGAAACAAATGAGATGTCTGCCAGACACTAACTAATCTAATCACAGGCAGATGGAAGTCCTGGAGTTCCTACCTTTGCTAGCAAGTATTTCCCACAATTGATTTCACTAGTGTAGATAACACTTTTAAAACGGGCTATTGTAGATAACACTACTAAACAACTGGGGAATATTTAGTAGTTCAGTTGGTTAGTCGGCCACTCTCCCCTTCCCGGGCCGAGGCCCCCCTCAATGGGTTCTAATTCTAAGAAGGGGGGCGGCGCCCTGAATCAATCAAAAAGCTTATTGATTTAATTGAAGGGAACTAAGACGATTAGCTTAGCTAGCGTTCCGGGAGAATCTAGTCATTTAAGAACTTCGTTGCCACTAGTAAATTAGACCATCACCCCCAAAAAGAACTCGGAGCCTAAAGAGAAGAGAGTTCAGTTAGTTACCTGAACTTCACCTTGTTGCCTTGTTGGTGCAGGTTTGATTCCCCATATTGTAATATCCCCTCCCCAATTTCCCCTACCCCCATTTAAAAAATAATAATAATAATAACAAACAGAAAAACACACTTTAACCAATTATTTCCCCATACCATCTTACTTATCAATATTTTCTTAATATCTTTATACTAATATATACAGCCAAGAGGATTAAACAAAGGGACAAAAGACAAGATGAAGTCTTATCGATTTGCTACAAAATTTAAGATGATGAGAATAACTTTGAAGTCTATTACAAAAACAGCATTCTTGTCAGTAACTTGGATTTTGGACTGAAATTGTCTGTCACACTGCAAATTATTTTTACAGGGCCAAACAAACACCAGACTTGTAGATTTATTAATGCTTTTTGTTTCTCTGGGTTAAACCATATTATCACCAAAGGAAACAATAATAGAACATACAAAATACAACAGGATCAAAAGTGTTAACCTTCTGCAACATGGATTGTGTATTGATCCATCGTCCTACTTGAGGATCATACATTTCAACCTGTGAAAAACTTTCAATCCCATTTCCACCACCAACTGCAAATATTTTGTCCTTCAAAGCTGCACCAGCTAAGCTACCTTTTTTCTCTTTCATACAAGGTAACACAGTCCATTCATCATCAGCTGTGTTATACGATTCAACTTCAAAAGTAAAGAGTGTATCAGTGTCAGCAACTTGAGGGGGGTTGATGAGGGGCAGAGAAGTGCAGACTGTACCTGTGTCGTACCACACGGTTGCAGTTCCACCACCAAATACATAAAATTCTCCGTTCAGCTTTGCAACCGAGGCATATGCACGGACTGAATTCATTGGTTTTAGTGACTTTAACACATCGAATGAAGGCAAATACGAGTCCAATGCAGATAACCATGACACACCATCATATCCTCCAGTTAGGAAAATCATCTCATGCTTCAGGTGTGCATCATCAGTATGGTCCATAATCATTTCATCAGCACGTGTACAAACAGTATTTGAGGACTCCAGCATCATACATTTATATGTTAACTGTTTAATCTCTTGTTCTACACGAGCCTGAAATGCCAAACCACCAAGAGTTACCAGGTAATTACTTCTTATCTGTATATATTCAGCTGTGAATGTACCTAAGGGGAGAAATAACTTCCAATCCATCCTTCTCTTCTTTTGAATATTTATTACCAACTCCCAATCCATACAGTAGAAATGCATAAAACGATATGAGACCAGACAAAGTGAAAATCCTATAAACGGACTATAGTGGTTTTGGGAATCCAAATTTTCTTGTTGTTCATCTCAAGGGATATCAAATTAGATACCACACTCAGTTATAAATTTGTTTCATTTTGGCTACAGCAGTTCCCACTACGAAACCCTATTACATCCCCTATTAGTTCATATTCTTAATATAGTCCCAATATATCCTTAAATTATGCAGATACAGTAAAAAATGCAGAATAAAAGTAATGAAACCGCACAGTTAAAATTGTTGAAACAGACTATAGGAGAAAATCCAAATTTGCTTGTTGTTCATCTCGTTGAATATAGCATTGGATACCACACTTAGTTATACATATTGTTTATATTCTTAGTGTAGTCACAATTATGTTAACATAGAAGTGTTCAAAATTCAATGCATGTTTTATAGCATCATCAATAACCCATAGAGAGCAATTAGGAAAGCTAGTGGATGGAACCACAGAATAGAGATGTCGCCATAACGCTGAGATTGAAAAGGGATAAGGCTTACCATCCTCCGCTCCAAATTATCCCTTTTAAGCTTTTCTTTTTCCATTTCTTGAAGAAGCTGCAACCAACAAAATAGCCCAAGTCATATAAAGCAATAAGATGTCGGACAAAAAAATCAGCAGATACTACAAAAAGATGAACAACCTGAGCTATAACAGATGCATAACCAGTTGAGTCACCGGAGCAGTCTACATTCTGCTCTTCTCCAAGTGGCAGCTCTTCCTGCAAAGTTTCTTGCCCAATGATTGCTTGATTTATCGACGCAGGTACGACTGCAGTGGTGGCTTCATTTGAAGGCCCATCTGTAATGCCACGTGAGAATTCACGCTGAAGAGACATTTCTCTAAGCTTTATGTACATCAGATCCTTTTCATCCAATTCTGCCTGATTATCTAATAGTACCTCCGGCTGCTGGTTACCATTTGAATGAAGAGGAGAAGTGTCTCTAGTCCACAATTTCCCATTCAAACCAGATGAGTAGGCAAAATTATCTCGTGACAGAAAATGTCCATTTTCCTCTCTTTTGTCATTGGCAGGTAAACCTTGGAATATACTTCTCTGTTTTGCAAAGTTTTGTGATGGGATACTACTTGAAGGAAATGGACTAGACGAGAATATGGAGATTAATTTACCAGCTTGAACGTGATCTAACTCAAACAAGAAATGGTTCTGACCATAATAGTTATCCTTAATTACTGGTTTAAACTGATTTTCTAGCAGTGGTTGACAGAGCAGACGTACACGTATTTGAACCTTCATAAAGAAATAGCAAAGTGTTGAGTTTTTTGGACTAAACCAGAAGCATCAACCAAAGCAAAAATCCCAAAAAGAAAAGACAGATTTTAAACCTGTGCAGGATAAGGAGTTCGGACAGAACCATCTGACGTCCAAGCATATTGATCGATATACATTTGACCAGGGCCTGCAGCTTCATAGATGCCGTGTAGCTTTTTATCACTGTAGTTGAACAAAAATAATGGCAAGCCTGAATCTACATTCTGCACATATGAAAAATGTAGAACTGGCAAACCTGTCAAAAAATTTAAAGCATAAGCATAGCGAATAAAAATGGAAAACAAAAATAAAAAATAAAAAACTCATACGACAAAAAATGACACCTAAAACTCATTATCAAATCTGCTCGACACAATCATTTTGATTTATTTCTTCCACTTCTTCTTTTACTTATTTTTATTTTATTTTTTTGGCCGGGGGGGGGGGGGGAGCGGGGGAAGGTTGAGGAAAGATGCAGTAGCCCAATTAACTGACCAAATAGTTGTTTTGAGAGACATTCTCTTATAGTTTTATTCGTGCAACCAAATATAACGCCGCCAAGCTGACTTCTTCTCAATTTTTTAAAGTCTCCAGTATCTTTTGCCTGGTTTGATGATGCAACTGCAGAAGCATTTACCATGATTGGATGTGTTCTCCTCCTTGCTCCTATCCTGAAAAGAGCATCAGGATAAATATAAATCCAGGATTTCCAACAATTTTGATTGCAATACAACAATCTAAGTAACAACACATGCGGAACTCTTCAAAATTAGCTTCCTTTGATCTTCCTTGCCATTTTGCTCCCACCTCTCATCTCCTCTCCCACAACAAAAATACACCATGCCCAGGTTAACCAGAAAACTAGAAGAAAAACATACTGATCAAATTTAACCACATTACTCAATGTTATTACATAATGTTCTTTCCTCTTTCCATGTCATTGATAACCCTTCCCACCAACAAACACCCGATTTGTCCACATTTATCCACATTTGTGCCACCAGACACCCAATTCCTCCAACACCGCAGAGTACACAGAAGAAAGATCTCAATTATAGCTATGAATTAAATAAGGATGTAATGGTTTCACCAAAATAAACATAAAAAAACAAGAAATTTCATCAGTTAAAGCCCCTAGGCCCTAGTTCATCAGTCATAAAAGTAACTCACACAAACCCTAAAAATGAAAATGACACAACAGTTTCAACATAAACAAAGAAATTACGTCCATTAGCTCAGTTAAAAGCCCCTAATTAATCCGCATAATCTCATCAACATATGGGCATAAAAACTATGTCCTACAAGAGGAAGACCGAAGTACATTGCACTAACAGCATCCATACCCCCCCACAACCATCCGTTCACCTCTATATATACATTAATGGAATTCTTTCAGGATATATTCATACTGTATACAGTATACACTGCACACAGACTTTAAAATCTTGAATTGATTACGGAAAAACAAGAATCGATTGAATTCTAAACTTGATGATAGTGAACAAAAACCAAAAGCATACGTACATTGTTAGATACAGAAGACGATTTGAAGAAAGGAAAGAGAATTACCAGGGAAGAATTGAGCTTCAAATGGAAGAAACTATATAGGCAAGTGTGAAACTGCACCCTCACGAGTATTTCGCATAAAGCTGATCAAACTCTACACCACTCACGCCATAAACGCATAACCCCTCTGATTCTTTTTGTCAAGAAAAATCCTCACTGTACCTAGGCTAGGCTGCCTTTTATAAGGAAAAGATGTTATGCTAAAATTATTTATATAAAATCTAGACAACTATTATGGTATGTGCCAAAAAAAAAAAAGAGTGATGAGGTGTATTAGAGGTTGAGAAGGATACAATGAATGTGGAATATCATTTGTGAAATTTGTTTTTTTGATTTTCATTATGGAAGTCATTTTTTTTATTTGTAAGTAACTTGTTTTCTTTAAAAAAGTATTTTAAAATAATTTTGATGAATCGAATGTGAGAAAATTGAAAATCAATTTTTGAAAAATCTTTTCCTCCATATTGAAGCACTCATAGTTTCTTTTCTTTTTCTATTTTAAGACGGAGAAAAAAAGTCATTTTTATGGATCCGTTTCACCAAATTACTTTTATTGATTGTAATTCATTAAAAAAAAAGTAAAGTAAGTAGTTTCACAAAAGGACTATCAAAAGTAATTTGGATGGTAGGTTATGTAGGCGATAACTATTCATAGGTTGCTCGATCGGGCCAAAATAATTCATTTTGAATATGCCTAAAATTGTCACAAGACCTTTCCCTCTTAGAAATAGGTTAATCCAAAAAAAAATTACTTTTTTGATTATTTTTTTAGCTTTCTACCTTGTTATATTATGGGAGTACAATGTTAATGAATATTATTAAGCATTGATCACAACTTTAACCTCACGTCAGTGCCTATGGCATGTTAATTCATTGCATATCCTAACACAATATCAAGAATGAAGGCCTAAGTGATGCTCATTAGTGTCGGGAGAACGCCGAAAATGATAGGTAGGTGGTTAAATATAATTTTAAGAAAATATAAAAAAAAAATTAAAAAGATTATTAATTACAATATCATATTTAAAGGGTTGAATGACAAAGAAGGATAGATAGCATCCTGATTGGCTAGTGATGAAGGGAAAAGAATTTCAATGTATGATCTTAATTTAAACACGTCACCTACACGATTCACTATATAGGTTTAAGGAATGCATGATAATGTGATTCATCATCTTTCAATAAAAAAAAGTTTAGAAGGCAAGAATAATAAGCATTCGAGCCTCCAGAGAATTATTAAAGTGCCCTCTTGGATAAAAAAAAAACTTAAAACATCGATAAAGGAAAAAAGGTCGATGAAAATAAAATCTTTTCTTTTCAATTAAATTTGTGCATTAATGAACCACTTGTCTTCTGTGACATGATCATCTCGGAAAAAAAATATGTCTCAATCTGTGGTAGATCAATTATATAGGAAGAATATGTTGGTTGACGACCTCCTATTACGATAGTATGAACTTTCCATCTCCTTGATGTTACACAGAATTGATACGCTCAAATTACACCTCCTTTCAGAAGCATAAGCGATCGTTATCAAATAAAGAACCCAACTTGTAGGTTGGGATCGATCCCACGAGGAAAATGGTTTAGACTTTACTTTTAACCAACAATTATATTCAATTAGTCAAATTATTTCCAGAAACAGGTAAAAAAAGGGGGGTTGTGCTTGTGTGAAACAAATAGTAAGAACTTAATAAGTAATCAGTAATTAAACTCAACTTTGGTTGTTATCAAGATAGGAGAAATAACTAGGGTATACGTGTTCCCCATAATCTCATAACGCAGTAATCCTAGTAATAGCAATCCTTTTCTAGTGTATTACATGCAAAGTGATAAGTTAGGTATCTCTAAATCCTTGGTCCGACATCTAGAGAATTTCACCCCGCACCTTGGTCCGGCTACGTGTGTATAATTTACTAACCCTTACCTTTACCTCATATTAGACATCATAATCGATGTTTGGCTTAGTTATTACTTCGCACCAATCGACACTAGCCTATTAGATAGTATCACACTAAATCTATGTTGATAATTCTTTTCTTGTTAATTACCTCCTTGGTCCGGCAAGTAGTAACAAGGCGAGTTCTAACGTTGGCCACCGTTAAAAAGACTTCTAAACGAAAGAATTATCAATGCATGCAAAATACTAGTCAAGAATTGCTTATTTACTATTCATACTTTGTTAATTGATCATGGTTCCCACAACCCTAGTTGTGGATTTAGTTACTCATATTGGCAAGAACACAATTCATAATTGTAGATGAAGAAATCATGAACTTACGTAAAAAGAATAATAAACCCAGAAAATTAACTTGAATTGCAAAGCCAAAATCTTCAAAACGAACTTGGGAAATCAATAATTGCTAGGGTTGCAAAATAATCTCCAAAGTTACAAAGCAAAAATAGAATAAAAGTGTCTAACCCCCAAAAACGAGGTTTACATGTCCTATTTATAGAAAACAAATCCTAAATAAAAAAAGGAAACAAATTAAGGAAAGTTTTGTTCAGGTACGCGTCTTCGATCCACGAGACTGACTTACGGACCGTCGATGGATCTACGGTCCGTAAGTCCCTTCCGTCACTCGGGACTTAGAAAATATTTCAGCATCCAACAATCAGCTTCTCTGAAGCAAACGACGGACCAGCAGCACGGACCGTAGATCGACCTACGGTCCGTCAATCCCTTCCGTAGCTCCATACTTAGAATCTTCAAAAATCAGGTACTGGAACCCTCACAGTCTCACTCTACGGATCAACAGTACGGTCCGTAGATTAATCTACGGACCGTCAATGGGCACCGTGGTTCCACACTTGGTCAGATTTCCCTGATTTGTCCTCAACACCATGCCTGCTGATCTACGGTCATCACCTACGGACCGTGAATGGACCTACGGTCCGTAGATGACCTCCGTGGATGCCTTTTTCTGCATTTCCTTCAGCTGTCTCTAAACTTCCGCGCCTGAACACCTTTCCTGCAAAACATGATAAAACACATAAAAACCAATATAAAAAGGCCCTAGACACACACAACTTGTAAGTGAAATGTATTAGAAATACCGTAAACTCACGGTATATCAAGAATGCGCAATATAAGGTACTAAGGTGTCTAGTAATATTACATTAGAAGAAAGAAATGATATGTTTAAAAAAAACAGCCATGGAGAATTGGGGATCGGACAATAGCGTGGTTCTGTCGCTAGATCTACTCCAAATTTAATAACTTGTTTGGATGATTGTTAGTTGTTACCTATTGTATTGTATTTTATTGTTAGTTTAAATACAACGTGATTATTACGTAAGTTTTATTGTATCGTGTCATTAAATCTATCGTTATGTAATAGTAAAAGTCTCATGATATATTACGATCGATTTTGTGTGATTGCGTCGTTATTTTTTTTCTTCTCATTTTGTTTTATCTATATTACTTTAATATCATGAAGGTCCTAAGAAATATTTATTGAACTTTTTGTCGTTCATTAAGAGACTTTACAAGAGACAAAATTGTCATTACTATTTTTAAAAAAATATTATTTAATTATTTTTGTAAAAATAAAATTTAACATGATAAAAAGGGGGGGGGGGGGGGGGAGAACAAGGTTTGTTTTTTGGTTGAAGGTTTATAGTTCATACAATTGGCATAGGTTAAACAACACGAAATAATAAGTATAAGGGAAAATCATATTTGTACCAAAATGTGAAACTATTTACCAGCTTTTGCCCCATTACTTTTATACCCTTTTTTATAATCCAGGGCAGAACTATTCACGCCAGTTTTGCCTCCTTCGTTGCCTTCTTCTTCTTCTTCTTCCCCAAGCTACCTTCTACGCGAAAAAAATTATTTCCAAATTTTTTTTATATATTTTCCCAACATTAAAAAAATCTCATGTTCATCTTCATCATCATCTTCTAGGGTTTTCAAGAATCATCTATGGAGAACCCCATCTCAAATTCTATGGACCTTCAAGCACCATTTGATCTTGATTCCAATTTCAACCCCAAAACTCAATCTAAGACTAATTTAATTTTGGGTTTCGATTCATATCATCCTTCCCTTCTTGCTCAATCTACAGTGACTGTTTCATTCCTAGCAGAACACTACTAGTTGCTCCTTTGATACCATTAGAGTTTATTTATACTATGATAATATCAAGGAAGAAGAAGTAGTGATTCAATGAAAATTAGCTAAATTGATACTTGATACCATCAGAATATATATATACTCTAGTGATATCAAAGAAGAAAAAATAGATCTTTACTGAAAACACTACTCAATTACTTATTGATACCATCAGAGTATACATATACTCTGGTGGTATAAATGAGGAAGAGGTAGTGATTCAATGAAAGCTAGCTAAATTGATACTTGATACCATAAGAGTATATACACTCTAGTAGTATCAAAGAAGAAAAAATAGTTATTCACTGAAAACACTACTAGTTACTACTTGATACCATCAAAGTATATATACTCTGATGGTATCTATCACACCCCGAGCCTACACCCTGGACGTGGCCGGAACTCGAAGACCATTGCTGGCCCCAAGCGAACACTTGGCCTGGCTTACTGACTCAGCGGAAGACTCTAAACATTTTACTATAATCAAATGAACTTACTCAAATAACTTTAGTAAAAAACTCCGAATGTTTAATGGTCAACATTCAATTGGGCCAAAATGGCAATTCAAGTCTTAACAAATGAAATGATAATGTAAAGACATCTAACTACTAACTATCTACGAAGCCTCTAAAACAAAGAGGAATGTTGGGACAGGACCCCCGATCATCCTAACATCTGAAAGACTAGAAAGCAAATAAAGAAGTCCTCCAGAATGCAAGAAGGCTCACCAACAGACTTTGAATGCTCAAGCTGGATCAACGAGGCGCTGGATGCTGATCCTGGTTACCTGCGTCTGCATCATAAGAAGATGCAGGTCAACTGGCATCAGTACATTGAATGTACGAGTATGCAATTTGGAATGCTAAAACAAGATATATGCTTGAAAGGAATCTGAAGAAAATACTTACCTTGGCTCTTCTCAACTCATGAATAAACTTAACTCAGAATAAAGCAATGAAACACATGCATTATATGAAATTTTTTATAAAACAGTAAAATCA